GAAAAGAAATATTACTAATAATGTTTATTTCTCCATCAAGTACAAGTACATGATTTTATTTAATTTCATTTATTATTCCCTCAGGGCCCGAAGGCACTGCAGAGCGGGTGGACAGTTATTTAAAACACATAGCGGGACAATTAGCGGGAACATATTTGAGTGAAGCAAAAGAAAAAAAGAAAACACGCGCTACACAAGATTTGTTAAAAAGCTGGTACGAACATTTTTAAAATTAACAGTGTTAGTTATTGAGACTATATGTGCGGGAAGGCGATTCCAGTCAATGGAGGTCTGGGGTACAAAGGAGGCATTAAAAGTGGAGGTGCTGCAATGGGGAATCCCTACCTTTAGTTCATGGTCTATACGTGATGATGGGGTTAGAGTGATAAATCTTGTGAACTAAACATAGACGAGATATTTTTCTTCGGAAAGAGAGATCAGCCAGGGAGAGGGACGATTACATGGAAGTTGCCCTTTCTGTGCGATGATAGTTCGAAAGTATGAAACGGGCAGAACAATTCTGAATAGATTCGACAGCTGATGATACCGGGGGATGGGTGATACCGAGACTCTAAATAGAAGCTGCATATTCAAGTTTAGGACGAACTAGAGTTTTATAAAGAAGTTTTAACGGAAAGGGAGCAAGCGAAAAGTTACGTCTGGGGTAGCACAGAAGTCGATTTGCATTGCCAGTGACATATTGGACGTGGATATTCCAGGAGAGGTCGTTGGTTATGTGAATGCCGAGATATTTATAGGAGGACATAGAAACTAGAGCAGAATTGTTGCTAGAGTAGGAAGGACAAGTGTTGTTATGACGCGATACTCTCATAGATGTACATTTAGTGATGTTAAGCTCCACGACCGACTCCTTTCACCATTTGCAGATGTTGTTAATATCAACCTGAAGGGCGGAAATATCAGAGTCGTTAACTATCTCTTTATAAATTACACAGTGGTCAGCGAATAGGCTAATAGAGGAAGAAACATACACAGGAAGGTCATTGATATAAATAAGAAATAAAAGTGGTTGAGTACAGAGCCCCGAGGGACACCGGAGTTGACAAGTGAAGGCGATGAATTAGTGCCATTAGTACGAACAAATTGGAAGCGATTCGTTAGGAATGATTTGATCCAAGTGAGGACATTGGGATCTATGTTAAGGTTACTAAGTTTATGAAGAAGTAGCTGGTGAGAAAGCTTGTCAAAACCTTTTGAGAAATTCAGGAACATACAGTGAGTCGTGGAACCCCCGGTCTAGAGTGAGGTTAAGATGATGTGTCAATGTTAGTAGTAGGGTATCACAATAATAAAACTTTCGAAAACCATGTTGAGCTGTGTTGAAAAAAAAGAGTTGGAGTCAAGATAGTTAAGAAGATGTGAATATATTACGTGCTCAAGAATTTTGCAAGGGATGCTCGTTAGAGAGATCGGGCGGAAATAAATAGGATTATGTTTATTGCCGCCTTTGCGGATTAGAATCAACTTCCCCACCTTCTAGCACTGGGTAATATTGCTTGTTCGAGAGTCTGGGAAAAAAGATAAGATAGAATAATGCTTGAGTACGTTTTAGCGTTCTTTAGAAACTTAGCCGTTACATCTTCGATGCCTGCTGCCGAAGAGATTTTAAGATGTTCAATTATGTTAGCAGTCCCTTCAGATTCTATAATGACAGGATACATCAGCAAAAAGTTACAAACTGGATCTGCGGGACAGTTGGATGTAGCAGGGCACGAAAACGCTTTGACGAAGACATCATTTAAAATAAAAGAACGCAGTTCATTTGGTAAATCTTCTCCGTCAACCATTATAAGCGCAACGTCGGAGCTTTCAGTGGGTTAACGACTTTCCAAAATTGACGGGGGTTGTTTATTGGCATAGATGGTAACAAAATAATAAAAGAAATGAGCTTTTTGTCACTTCAACCACATTTTTGTACACGCCGGCAGCGAGATGGTACTCTGCCCAACGCTGTGCGTCATCCTTCAACTTAGCAGTACGAAACGAACGCTTCTTTTTATTTGAGAGCCTTTTTAGAGTCACGGTATACGATGGCGATTCAGGTGACGACGTTATGTTTTGAAGAGGAACGTGTGCCTTCATCAGTGATTCCACATTATCTTTGGAGAAACGCCAGTTGTCTGCGACTGAGCGTTCGGCAAAACGGAGCATATACCGATTTAAAAAGAGACTCATTGCATTGTTAATAACATCAAAGTCCTCGTGGAAGGGGACCGAGGTAGGAAGGGGACAGGGAAAAAAACTGCATTTCTGCAGCTTGATGATTCCTGAGCCCCCTCTTCAATTGGCAACAGCGGCAGGTCACAAGAGAAATGAATCCCTTCAAAATGCAAACGAACAAATAAGAATACATAGTTCAGTAATTCAACATATAACATTCCAATGTGGCAGATAAATTATCTCTGCTAAAGAGACAGTTTAGTATAAAAGCAACAAGAGCACATTTAGAGGCTTAGATATATAACACGGCTCTGTAATACTAGACTCATTCACTAAATTCATTCTCAACATACAGGGTGTCACAAAAGAAAATTTACACGGTCTTTTTTACCGCAAAAATAAACTAGGCATCGACGAACGCTAATTATCCGCCCAAAGGTAGAGCTTGAGGTCACAACCATATGCCAAAGTTTCAGCCCAATCTGATAACTTAATCAAAAGTTATAAGTGATTTTCTGAAAAGTTCAATGGGAAAATAAAGCCCATTTTTGCCTATTTTCGGTTTCTGCTGCCATAGAGCCCCTTGTGTTTGAAAACTCCGTCGGCCACCATTTTCCCATTGAAGTTTTCAGAAAATCACTTACAACTTTTGATTAAGTTATCGGATCGGGCTGAAACTTTGGCATCTGGTTGTGAACTCTAGCGCTACCTTTGGGCGAAGAATGAGCGTTAGGCGATGCCTAGTTTATTTTTGCGGTAAAAAAGACCGTGTAAATTTTCTTTTGTGACACCCTGTGTATAACCGCCACTGATAAACGAGGGCATTGAGAGGAATATTTACTTAGCCATTGCTATGAAAATTCAGTCTACAAGAAAAAATCTAAATCTTTTACGGTTGATGTCAAAGGATGAATGTTATGAGTATTAAGGTAATTAAGTATTGTCGGAAGCACGTTGGATACCATTTGCCCACTATAGGTTGTTCTGCAACTAGGGACTTTCCAGTTGTATAGCCTACGAGCGGGATATGCTGCCAATTTCAACGATAAGGACGCTAGTTCACTAAGATTGCTAACATTATAGAAATTACAGAGAAGATGCAAACGAGCTGGAGAACTTTCAACATTGTAAAACCCTTTTTTTTTTGTCCTACGTCTCGGGTTCTACAATGCTGCTAACATTGTTTTTTATTCCAGACTTATGACTTAGACGTAACCAATATTTATAGATAATGTGAGCGGGTATTAAATTTATGTTTGTGAACAGAGGTCTACTAGGGTAATCATATGGAACATTACATATTATTCACGCTATTTGTTTTTTTTGCATACGAATCTTGTTCAAATTCGCTATTGTAGTATTTGCCCAGACGAGATGTATAATGTATATGTGAAAGAAATAACGAGTTATAGATTAACAATTTAGCATTTGTTTGGCAAAATAGAGAGGTGACGATACATTACGCCAATCACACCTGACAGCTTTATCAAGATATGTTTCAGATGTTCACCACAAGTCATTTGTTGCGTGAATATAACTCCAAGGATCTAAAACTGGTCAAAACTTGTATTTTTCACAAATTCAAAACGATATCTCAAGTAATAGCTGCATTTTTCTTCTTCGGTTGATACAAAATAGCTTTAGTCTTGCTCACGTTGATTTTTAAGGCGTAAGCGTGGCTCCAGCTACTAAACTTCTGCAGAGTTTGATTTGCCCTATGTGCTAGGTCATCACAGCAAACACCTGTGAAAAACAAACTTTTAACGTCAGCATAGCCCACATATTTGACATTTTATCTACGTTCACGATGTCATTAGTATATAAATTGAACAATAAAGGGCCTAAAATACTGCGTTATGGAACGCCAGGTTGAATATGAGGAGTGTACCCGTTTATATGAACATACCGTTTAAGATGAACAAGATGTGATGAAATCATAGCTGACGCTTGTCCGCGAAATCCGCACTTTTCAAGTTTCTTTATCAACAAGGCATGGTATAAATAATCGAAGGCTTTCGTAAGATCAACGAAAATACCAAAAGCCATCTTTTTGTCCTCAAACCTCGACAAAATTGTTCTTTTTTTTGCTCCAGAAGGGTTAGTTGCATGGGCCAGCTTTGTAGAGCGGGCTTTACAAAATCCGAATTGTGACATGGACCGCTGCTTGCGTCCCAAGCACCTTCCGTTCGCTCCGTCTTTGCAAGCCTGTCGAGCTTGCTTATGTTACTAGTGCAAGAAAACATAAATTCTACACGGAAAACAAAGTTGTGGATTTAGAAAGGACCTTCGGCTGTATGATTTAACGTCTTGGAGAAGTCAAGTTGGTTTACAAAAATATTCGACAATTTCGAACAGATCGCGCTTCTTAGTTCTTTTGGCGTTCACTTGGAGAATCGATGGTTAAATTGGTTAAATGTTTCACTGACGTCTCATGCAGTACTTTTAAGGGGTGCTTTGTTCATTCTTTTTATTAACCGGAAGTTCGCTGGGACGTCAAAGGTTGGAGCACCACCTGGTGGCGTCTGCAAAGAAAAGAAAGGGTCTATAGGACTTTGGAAGGTTACTGTTAATTTTTTTTTATGAGGTTTTCGATATTCGCCAGTTCGGTGTATTTTCAGTAACGACCGAATTTGAGAAGATTATTCTGACAATTTCCGGCGTTTTTGCTGGAAATTGTGGAAGCGCAGTGGGCGAAGTCTGAATATATTAATTCCGACCGTCCGGCAGCGCCACGGGCCCGGTCGTGGTAGGGCCGTCGGTGCCGTTGCGAAAGAACGCCGCCAAATATACAAAGGAGGGAGAGGAGTCCGTCGGCGCTGCTGCCCCCAGGCGGGGAGTCGAGCAAGTTCGGCGCGGTGAGTGGCGCTTGTGCTGGGCACCGTTTGCGCCGTCGGCTCGGTGAAGCGGCCGAAAAGCTGCCGAGGAGACCGGAGTCCGTGTCCTGCGCCGAGCCCAGCCGAGCGACGTTCGGCGGCCGCCTGTGCCCCCCGTGCGTGCTGTGTGTGAGTGGAGTGGCGAGCCGGCGGGGCGGCCGCGAGCGGGCAGAGCAGCAGCCATCGGTCGGATCGAAGCTCCCGGCGCGCCGAGAGCCATGTCGGGGCCGGGCCCGGAGCCTGCCGGCTGCTGAGCCTCGGAGCCCGGGGCCCGGCCGGCCATGTCGTCGCGGGACATGTACGGCGGCGCGCAACGGTCGCCTCGGGCGGGCCCCCGAGACGCGATGCTGGGCGCGCCTCCCCGGACCTCGTACGCGTCCATCTCGCAGCCTCCGTCGGCGCGGGGCAGCCCCATCGCCCGCACCCTGTCGTCTCCGTCGCAGGGGCGCCGCATGCGACCGGGCGCCCAGTACGGCGTGAGCCGGTCGAGCAACAGCAGCCCGCTGACCATGGGCCACGAGGCCGGCTACTACGGCGACGAGCTGGACCAGCGGGTCTCGCACCGGAGCCGGTCGGCGACGAGGGTGCCGCCGCAGCTGCGCTCCTACCAGGGCGCCGAGCAGGACTTCGTGCCCATCCGCGACCGGTCGCTCGAGCGCGGCGACCTGGCGAGGCCTCGCTACCGCGACGACATGTACCGCGAGACGGCCATCGACGGAGACCCCTACGCCCGCGGCTACGGCCGGGACGGCGGAAGCTTCGTGGCCGAGCTGCAGACGCGCCTCAACGAGCTGCAGAGCCAGTACGGCAGCGTGAAGCGGGAGCTGGACGCCACCACCCAGAAGCTCGGCTCAAGCATGCACAGTATCAAGACCTTCTGGAGCCCCGAACTGAAGAAGGAGCGCGCGCTGCGGAAGGAGGAGGCCGCCAAGTACGCCCTCATCAACGACCAGCTCAAGATCCTCCGCTCCGAGAACCAGGTGAGTACGCTCGCGGAACCGGACTCGCCGACCCCGCCACGCGTCCGGAGATTGGGCTCGTTGGGCAAGACTGTTTCTCGCCGCGAAGCCTCCTAAACACAGCTCGCTGCGGTCTCAGGAACCCCCGTGTCCCACGCGCCTATCGCCGCGTCTCCGTGCTTTAGCGGTTCATCCACGTCACGCGTGTGGCTCGGAAGGGCGCGATCCACGTGATCCGTGACACGGGCAATGCACTCATCTCGTCTCCTGTTGCACTCTGCCCACTCTGTCACTCCCTCGTCCGACGGGGTTTCACTCGGGATCTCGTGTTTCACCAGCGACGTCTGCCCGATGCGACGGGATGGCAAACACATTCAGTAGTGGGATGTTGCGAACGTCAGGCTTTATCTTGGAAGGCGCCAGGCAGGATGTACTACTACTCCTGCTAGTGTCCATGGTGCCTCTCGTCGTCTGCGTATCCCGCGGATAGCAATCTCGTCCAGACCACTAGGACATCATAATGTATAGTTTGAAACGACTGCGACATCCGCGGACTTTCCGTCGGCACTCATGGACTGCACGGACTGCCTGCTAAGGCGAGAACAATCCCGTCATAGACAGAATACTTGGTTCAGCGGGCTCGAACGCTGACGCGTTTTGTTCCTGGAGCCTCATTTCATTGGAGACCCAGGCTACTGCTCGCGTGGGTTCGATGTGCACCTCTTAAGGCCCGTTCACACCCGTGCAACCGAGTACGACTTAAAGATACAAGACCGGTTTTTAAGCCTCTTACGACGGCGTAGGACCTGCTCCGCTGCAGCGCATCCGGTCCTGCACCGTCGCAAGAGGCTTAAAAACCTGTCTTGTCTCTCTCGGTCTTACTCCGTTGCAAGTCTGTGAATGGCGCTTTAATCAACCTTGATTTGTCGGGTGATCAGCAGACTAGAGAAACATGTATCCGTGAAGAAGAGATAACGTTAGCCTGAGAACGTTCTGACCAGCCGGTTTTTCTTGGCCGGCGGACAAGATTCGGCATTTGTCGAACCAGATTGTCTGGGACATTAGCAGTGATTGGCGATGACTGTTTGCGAACGCGCTAATACTCCCGCAGACTCAAAATGCGTGGCTCCATTGCGTACGTATGTAGGATGCGCTGCCAAAGCTGTACAGTGCGAAGCAGGCCCTAGTGCCTCACTAGCACGGCAGTGCGTTTGGATAAAACGCCCGATGAAGGCGCACGCCAGAAGACTTGACCTCGTCGTGCACTGCGTGTCAGAGGTCCCCGAACGATTGTACAGCGCCCCGCAATGCCCTCGAAACACCAATCATTAGTCCTATATGAATCAGTCTAGCCAGTGAGGGTATAGCAGTAGGTATCATGCTCCAACGGAAGTGGCAGGAAGACGCCCTTTGCCTGTGGCATCGCATGGCCGTTGGAGCAAGCCGTACAAGCGGCCCTTCCGATCGGTGCAGCCGATCCCAGGCATGCCAGTGGCTGCGAGTGCATGGCGGTGCAGTGGCACGGTCGGGTGGCCCAGAGTGCGGTTCGTGCGCGTCGCGGAGCAGCGTCGGGGCGCCCCTGCCGGCGCCCGCAGCGGAGTCCCGCCCCGCTGTCTGGCGACTGCGCATCGATCGGGGCTCTTTTTCGGTCGGGGGCTGCCGAGGGGAGCGCCCCGCTGCCCGCATCGCGGAGGGCACCGGGCCGCGGGGCTCTGCCACCGCCGTCCACCAAACAGGCGCCGTGCACGCGCTCAATCTGGTCGGCAGCCGACCCAGACCGATCCATGTAACGGGGACTAAAACACGAGGCGCGTGCAGCGTGCTCACGGGCAACTGGGCGAGCTTGCTATCGCACGTGCGTTCTTCCCGAAGAAAAATATGGCATCTGCCACAACGTCCCGCTTTATTGCGATGGCACGCAAACGAAAGCGATGCACGCCGGTCCATTGCTTGCGGAGCTCGTGGAGAAGCAGCGGCTGAGACCGCAGATATGGTCTCCTCGTGGGCAGTTGTAATCTTGCAAATGCAAACACGATGAACCTCGGACTCCAGTCGGGTTATGAAAAATCGAATAAACGAAGTTTTAAGGGACCGTGAAATAATTTGATATGCGCATCTCTGAGCGAACCATCTGTACATTCGTCTGCGCGCTGTAACCAAGGGAGCAAGCGGGACGCATCTGGTATATATATATATCTACTTCAATTATGCATGCAGGGGAAATGCTCCCAACGAAGGGGACATGCTTTATTCTGAACGGCAGATACCGAGAGCCTTATTATGTTTATGTACACTCGGCGTCACTGTTAGCCGCGAACCAGCCGTTTTCCTCTCAGTCTTTAAGGGCTGTCATGGTGGTGGAAAGTGTTCTGGTGTACTATAGTGCTGGAAAGTGCTCAGCTGTGGTGCTAACCTAAGTGGCGAGTTTCGATGGCCGCCAGTTCCCTTTTCAAGTAAAAGGCGAAAAGTCGCCGAAGTCGTGTTTGCTCTACCTGTGCCGCACAGTATACATATTATGTGTATACCCCTTAGTAAGAAACATTTGAATTATAGTGATCCTAAAACAGTAGTCGCCGGTTGGTCGGGGGAAGCCCAGCCGAGGGATTTAGACAGTTAGATGAAAAAATTATGTCAAGTTGTTTAGAAGTTGATAGCAGACTACACGGGCGTCGACGAAACATATTCCTAAAATTTCCACAGCAGTTACGCAGCTGGTACAAGATTGCAAAATCTGCCGAATTTTAACCACTATCTACGCCGCGATTTCGGCAACAATTTTTTTACTTTCGCGGAATACTGTTCAGGAACCTTTGACTTTCGTAACCACGAAACACTCGTTAATGTTTTTCTGTCCTCCTCAACCACGGTCGGGCTAGAGTGCGAAGACGAGCTGTGCCGCCAATGTTCGTCATATGCACGCTCTGGGATTGGCAATGTTCGGACCACACGCTGTGCTGCTTCAGACATTGTTGGAGCTGGTTGGATCTGGACGGTTCCCGTCGCCGTGGCAAACGGACACGAGCTCCATGCTGAACGTCTGCCGAGCAACCGAGGCGTTGGTAGCCAGTGGCCCAGGTGATCACACAGTGGTCGTGTCCGGTCCATAATCCACTCCTGACTGTCGTCGCCACGCTGTGCTCTCTGTGACTGCGTCAGCATTCGAATCTCCACGACTACTATGTCATCACGTTCTTCGAAGGAGGCACTGCAAGAAGTAGCCCGCTGTTATCCGTGAGAGCCGGAAGAAAGACATTCCTCCGGTTTAGTGGCGTTGCGTGGGAGTCTGGTTGTGTTGCACGCGTGTAAAAAACGTTTTCTTTCTCTCTTTTTTTTTGGGGGGGGGGGGGGGTGGAGAGGGAGGGAAGGGAGGGGGGGAATCGTTGAAGTGGTGTTTCGAAAACGACTGTAAAATTTCTCAGGACAAACGGAGCAGTAAGAGATTGAATACGTTGAAGTGCATCAACACGAAGGCGGGGAAGCGGATTTCACGGAGGGCCGGCATACACTAACATCGGCCTGGCGTATGCCCCACATCTCTGAACCCGCTCTTGTCCTTGAGGATGTATACGTGCGAGTATTCCGGAGATGGCGGCCGTTGCGTGGGCTGGCTCCGCTAGGCCGCGTGCAGCTGCCGTGTGTCCAGAAAACGGTCGTTTTGCACGGATTGTTGGTCCGAACGCAAGGAGTTTCGTTTGATACTCCAGAGGAAGAGCTAGCTCCAACAAATGCGCTCTAAAGCCGCGCTTACACTCCCACAAGAGACAGTGATTTCCTGAGGCGTGTTTCTATGAACGCCCTTGGTCATGCAGGAACTGTCTTCAATTCTAGGCAGGCGTGAAGCCTTCGAGTATGCTTTGTCCGTAGATAATATTCTCCTGCAGCGAACAGCGTGTACGACGTGTGAGCGGCGTGACTGCGGCTGCAGAATCTGTGTCCCCATCGACGCTCCCGGAACGCCAGTCGTTTGTTCTTCTTGCCGGTGAGAACGACGAACGGTGAAGCGCCTCAAGGGTCATTTTCTCGGCGCCGCGGCCTCCGTGCATTCGCCGCTCAGATTGCGTGAGCTCGGGGTCAGGACGCCGATCGCCCACTCATTGGTCGAACCGATGAAAGAAAGGCCAATAGTTGTCACGGACGGTTGAAGCGATGCCCTGGGCGAGGCCTATTATCCTTGCGCTTCTTGCTTCCTGATTCGTTCCTTGACGTTCTTATCGGCTCACGTGGCAATCTCGTTGTCCGAGGAGCAGGAATAATATGATCGGCATTCGCCACGCTACAAAATGGCAAATAAAAGATAAAAAAATGGAGGGACATGATTTTTTTTTTTTTTTTGGTTACAAAATTCAACTACGCATCGCGGAACGCTCATTCTCTGCCCGAGTGTAGCTTTAACGGTCCGAATGGGCTGTCAAAGTTTCAAAACGAACCGCAATATCATTCGAAAGTTGCAGGTGATTTTTAGAAAATTTCTACGGGAAAATGGCGGCCGATGGAGCTCTCGAATACATGGAGCTGAATGGTGCCAGTTACCAAAAACGGGCCAAAATGGGCCCCGTTTTCGCATTTAATTCTCAGAACATCGCTTATAACTTTCGAAGAAGATAACGGTCAATGCCGAAACTTTGGAATCTGGTTCGGACGGCTAGCGCTATATTTGGGCAAAAAATAAGCGTTCGGCCATGTTTTCCTTTTTGAAGGGGGGGGGGGGGGGGGGGCGGGGATTTTGTACATCAGAGAATAGTAAACCTCGTCCTGGCGGGTATGCCTAAGTAGTTTTCCTCGAAAGAAGGAGGGAAGGAGTGCACTGGAGGAGGGGCGAACAGCCAGGACTTCCGAGAGCACGCCTCGACACCCGCTCTTCATCTGCGCTGTCCCTCTTTTGTGCTCGGGTCAGCAGCTCCTTCCTGTCCTCTGCTTTTCCCTAAAAGTTTCGCGCGGACATTAATAAAAGCGGTAAGGCAGATTTCTTAGTGACTTCCACAGTCGTCCTCCAACCAACGGGATAGACAAAAATTGGTCTAAAAGTTTGTAAATATTCTCCACTTCCTTTATGCCCTATGGTGAAACTTTGGCAATTTTGAGCTGATTTGGGAATAAACCCGTTTTAAACATAGAAT